GCGTGATCTCAGCTCACTGCAACCTCTGCCTCCTGGGTTCAAGAGATTCTCCTGCCTCAGCCTCCTGAGTAGCCGGGATTACAGGCACTTGACACCATGCTGGGTTAATTTTTGCATTTTTAGTAGAGACGGGGGTTTCACCATTTTGGCCAGGCTGGTCTTGAACTCCTGGCCCCAAGCAATCCACCTGCCTTGGGCTCTCAAAGTGCTGAGATTACAGGCGTGTGCCACCGTGCTTGGCTTATTCTTATTTTAGACTCAAATATATAGTAGGTCTGTTGTGCTCAGACATGCATATTGCACTGCTGCCATTTGAATATACTGTAATTCAAAGGGAAGCTTTTTTGAAGCAAGACAGGTCTTTATACATTACTTATGAATAACTTGCTTCAGATCTTGGATTCCTAGTTGAGGATCTGTTTCTGTAGCCTTATTTGGGTAAAACTTATAAAATGCTTTTTATATGGGTATAATCAATTTCTAGATAGATGATTTCTATCTATTTGGGGATATTTGGATAAATTATTAGCATTAAAATTTGTCCTATGAAGTTTCCCAGTATTTTGAGAGATGAAAATTAGGGAAAACATGGCATTAATGCAGGAAATGAGATGCCTATTCCTATGGCACCACTCACATGCTTGTTCCTACTTTCATCTCAGTGGTAATTTATCTAAAGAAAATAATTGTTATTGCTCAAGAGTGTCCACAAAACTAATTATTTCTAAATAAGTCTTTTGACTAGATAGTGCTTTAGACACATTATAGAACTTCAGAATTTTTAAAGTTTTCTCAATTTTGAAAAAAAAAAAAAAAAAAAAAAAAACAACCATTCATTTCCCCCTCACTTCTCATCAATAGTGATTTTTTGTCTTTGAATATACTTCCTGCTCTAGTGCCTTTAACTGGATCTGGCAACCAAAAGCAGGGTTTTAGCCTGCCCTTTGGCTGGGCAATTATTGGGTCTCTCATTTCCTGTTACAAAGGATCTTTTAACTTCTATTAGTAATTTATTGTAATACTTTTTCATACATAACTAATTCCCCAACCTGAATGTTTTGCAGTTTATCCTTATACAAATTTAGAGGTTTTGACAAGGAAGCTTATTTTGATGTATAGGACACATTAAGTATGTTTTTTTTGTTTGTTTGTTTGTTTTTTGCGATGGAGTTTTGCTCTGTCTCCTAGGCTGGAGCGTAGTGGCACGGTCATGGCTCACTGCCACCTCGGGCTCCCAAAGTGTGTTGGGGTTTAAGGAAATCATGAATTTAATGCATTTTTTTTTTGTTGCAGATTTCATATCTTCATGAACTCTGTTGCAACTTTGGATCAGAAACCCAGAAGAATAATAAATATGAAGAAAGTTCTTTCTGGCTTAGGTAACATAAAAAATGAATGTAAATTCAGGAATATTATCATAGATGTCAGTTAATATTTACTGTAGAGTACTTGGGCAGTTTAAACCTTCTCTGACTTCAGAATCCAATATGCTATGTTTATTTACTCTTTTAACATGTATTGTTTATTATTCTTACACATTGCCAGTTCATAGTTCATAGAAAAATGTTTTCTTCTTTCTTTCTTTCTTTCTTTCTTTCTTTCTTTCTTTCTTTCTTTCTTTCTTTCTTTCTTTCTTTCTTCCTTCCTTCCTTCCTTCCTTCCTTCCTTCCTTCCTTCCTTCCCTCCCTC